CCCCATTTTCCCCCCAGCCATCGAGACCCCCAGCACCCTCCATCCTGGGGCAGCCCCCCAGGGTGAAGCATCTCCTGGGGCGGGGGGGGGTCTGGGGCTGCCCAGACTTGGCAAAGCCGTGGGCTGGAGTCATTAAGGAATTAATGGGGAGCGGGAGGGAAGCCCTGCCAAGCCGGGCAGGTTTCTGGCAGAGGCTCCAGCCAAATCATGCCAGCATCACTCGTAGTGAGGCCGGAGGCTGTGCCGATGAGGGTGGCAGTGATGGAGAGCCCTCAGCCTCCGGCGGCCTCCAGCTCGACACCCGTGGTGTGGCAACAGCGGGGCAGCAAGGATGGACGGGCAGCAGGGCCCTGCCTGCGCCAGGTGCTGGCAGCGGGGCGGCAGGAGACCTCACGATGCCCTTCCCACGGGCACCAGACCACCAGGCCAGGTCTGCCCCGGCCTCTTGGGTTTCCCTGGCTGCCTGGCCCGGGCAGCAGCGTCAGCCAGAGCTGGGCAGACGTGGGAGGGAAGGGACGCCCAGTGCCGGCGCTGGCGGTGATGCTCTGCCACCCGTGGGACCCTGCGGTCCCCATCCCATCTCCTTCAGCACCGTGGTCCCTGGGGCGGTTGGACCACCCTGGGGTCTCTGCCGGGGCTGTGCACAAGGGGAAAGGGTGCCAGGGATGCGCTGGGACCTGCACCATGTGCCCCGGTGCAGTAGCTCGCCCGAGCCACTGACAGCCCTGTTTCCCCATGGGCAGACGGTGCTCAGCCGCCAGCTGCACCCGGCGCAGGGCTGGCCAGTGCCGCCAGCTCCCTCCTCCCCCAACCCTTGTCCGAGGTCTTCTCAAAACTGCTCCGATCGCAGCCTCAACTCAGGGCCGGGATGCAGAACAGGGCTGATGGCACTTGGCCTCCACCTCCTCCCGCTCGGCTCCTCAGCATCCTCATGGTCCCTCATTCCCAGGTCCCGGTGCCATTCAGCGCGGCTCGCTGCCACTGCCCAGCCGTGTCATGCCTTTGCTTTGCTTAAACCAAGGTTGCAGCGGGAGCACTCCCAGGCTGCCAAAACCCTCCTACCCCAGCTGCTGCCAGAAAAACGGTGCTGGGGCTCAACAAGTGGTACAGAGTCCTGCCACAGCCAGCGGGGTCCCAAGAGGCACCACTGTCCCAAGGGGGGACCTCAGCCCTCTGCGGATACTGCTGCGGGGACACACAGAGGCGCACAGGTTGGGAGCAGGGACACGGGCTGGGAGCAGGGACGACGGTCTCCGTGCTGCCAGCATTGGGTTGACATTCCTTAGGCTTTTTCTTGAGGTTTGAGTAACTGGTATTGGTGTTGGCCAGACCAGCCCCGGAGAAAAGCCCGTCCTCCCTGATAGGGAAAGAATACGTCCCTGCGTGATGATGTCCCCAGCTCAGGCAGCAGCTGAGAGACTGGATCCTCTCGCTTGCCCCCCACTGATGGCCCTTCTCGCTCTCAGCTTTCTTCTCTTGGCTTCTACAGGGGGAAAGGGACCCTGGGGGCCCGGCAGGCATTTGGCTGCTTTCCCCCCAAACCAGCTCACCAGCATTGCCAGAGATCCACCGGATTTATTTCCCCATTTCCCTCCTCCGCGGCAGTTTTGCGGTTCAGTTCGGCCATATCCCCGTCTGCTTGTGTCGCTCCTCATCTGCCACGCGCTCCCGGCTTCCCTCGTGCTGTCTCTGTTTCAATGTACCAGCTCACTGGTGGGGGAGCTTGTGAAACAGCAGAGTCTCTCCGGCTGCTCCTCTCTTCCCGGCACTGTTGGGGAGCGCGGAGGGTGCCCGAGGAGCCGCCCATCCCAAATCCCGTGGGGAGCTGCCTCCCAGCATCCTCGGCTGAGCCCCATCCCACAGCCAAGCAGCTGGAGCTGGGGGGAGCTCGGCCATCTGCCCAAGAGCTGCCTGATGCTTGAACCGGCTGATGTTTGCCTGGTCTCCTCTCCTCAGGACCTGGAGCTGCTCCGGCCGCCCATCGTAGCCTCTCCGAGAGCAAAGGCCACCCCGCTCTGGGGTCCCCCTGCTGCCATCCCTGGCACCCTCTAGGCCTGGGACACCTTTCTGTTTCTCTGTGACTTGAGAGATGTGTCCTACCATGCCGTTTCGGCAAAAGATATCTGGGAACGAGCCTCCAGCTTCTGCTAAATCCTCCTGACCCGCGCTGCAAACGCCTCCTTCTCTCCCCAGACACCCCATACCCAGCGAGCCACGTTCCCTGTACAGGGCTTGGAGGAAGAAATAGCTCCTGGTCGTTCCCCATGGACCCTGCGGGCAGGACCAGGCTGCCTCCACCTCCCGGCCACGACACCTGTGGAAAGAGGCAGCGCAAGCAGAGGCCGGCGCAGGGTGGGCTGGGGGAGCCAGGGGAAGGTAAGTTCTGCTGAGGGGGGTCTGCGGGTGGCTGTCGTGAGCATCCCTGGTGCTGACTGGCCTCAGGCTCCAGCCACCCCTTGGGCCGAGATCAGAGGTTTTCTGGCTTTTTTGGTCTGCGACCTGAGCGTTCGTACAGCAGCAGAGGCTGCCCGGGCACGGCACGGGAGGGCAGGGAAAGGGGAGCTCCCACAGCCACCCAGGAAGGCAGCAAGGGAATCGCTCCAGTGCAAGGTTCACCCCATGTCGAAAGCAGGGGGGAGTTGGAGGGGCGAGAGCAGCTCATACTAAGCCTGGATTTTGGATGGATCAGTTTGCCGGCAGCTGACTCCTCTATAATTAGATGTCAGCAGCAGTACGGGAGCCAGCTTGGGGCGCAGAGCTCCAACATCTTCCCATCCACAGGCGTGTCGTTAAAGGAAACTGCCCACTTTCCAAATGACCCCCAGACGCTTAAAACAGCCGGGTGAGTGATGAGCTGCATCTCCTGACGAACAGGAGACGAGGAACAAGAGCTACTGCAACGTGCTGCCTCTCTTGCAGGCCCTTGGGGCTGCCCTTGAGGGGAAGACCCTCTGACGCAGCCCCAGAGGATGAATCCCATTGGGATGTGGGGCTGGATGGCTTATGGTATCTTGTGCCACTTCGCCGATCACCGGCCACGCTGAAGGAGGGCTGGAAGGAGCTGCAGCCCTGCCCGGCTTCAGAGGTTGCAGGCTGGGAGCCTACACGTGCCCGATGCCCCTTGTCTGCGGCCCCCGAGCCGCGTCCCAGCTCTGCCCCGACTCCTGCGTCACCTGGGGGAACTCCACAGCCGCTTGCCGAGGTCCCACAGCCCCAGGCTACGCCCCACCGTCCCTCTCCCCATCTCTGCCGTCGTCCCACGGGAGCTGAGAAAGGAGGGGAAAGGGACAGCTGGCAACCACGTGGGAGGCTCCAGGCTTTATCTCGGATCCGGGTTTTCAACAGATGTGGTGTGAGCAATGTCTGTAAGGCAACTAGATCAGCATCATTGCTCAGAGATTAAAGGATTTAATAATCTGCTGGCAAGATGTAATTGAAAGAGGCAGAGCCCTGGTTGTACAGCGCTCAACAAATGCACTGGGGCATTCCCACGCTCCCCCCGAGATCCCTCCAAACCCTCTCGTAAGCAGAATAAATCCCCAGTGCGTGTGGGGCAGGCCCTTTTCTACACGCATCCAGGGACTAATGCTTCATCTTCCTTTGTAGGTAGCTACTTATTTATCGTTAACGTGCTTCTAGGGAGCCCTTCTTTCAGTGACCTCAAGCTGCTCCACAAAGAATAAGGCATTGGAGGCGGCGCTGCCTCTGCGCCAGGTACGCAGCGAGTCCCCGGGTGCCGGGGGGGCGGGGGGGGGAAGCGGTGCTGCCGCTTGTCGGAGGTCAAAGCACCATTCAGCGGGGGCGGCGA